GGTTAGCGCACGCCATCTACTCTTTCTTTCTTGCGCCTGCCATTGACTCTTTCTCTAAAGCACGCTGGTGTGCATGCCCACATGTGGTTTTTCCTTTTCTTTTTTTAAAAAGGAGGTGCCGATGGACCAAGGATCAGATATAAAACTGATCAGAACCAATACTATACTATTTACAAAAGAGGTGCCGATGGACCAAGGATCAGATATAAAACTGATCGGAACCAATACTATACTATTTACAAAAGAGGTGCCCATGGACCAAGGATCAGATATAAAACTGATCGGGCGAGAGTTAACCGGTGTGATCATCTTTTTTTTTTTTTTTTTTTTTGAATTTCGATCAATAACGTCCTCCCACCCATAAAATATCGAGCAATCTGCATCATGGTTGTCATAATTCTGAAATAATTTTTGCCTTCTGTCACGATGCGCCCTCATTACACTCATATTTTCCATCCTCCACTTATTCTCACCCGAACAGTCCACTTATTCAATTTTTAGTGCAACTCTCAATCTCGATACACTCGTATTTTCCACCCTCCACTTATTCTCAAACTTCAAATAGGTAAGATTTTGCGGTTGGTCAAAAAGCAAAAGAGAAAAAAAAGGCACCCTCCATGGGCATATGATGTCCTCCCCCCCATGGAAACGTGCCTAGAAGCAGACCGCTCCGACAAAATGCAACTCCTTGGAGAGAACGATCCAATGCAATGCATCGGGCTGGGGGGCGGAGGAGACGCCAGAAATCATCAGAAAAAAAATGAAAAAAAAACACAGCGAAACTGCTCCTTTCTATGCTTTTTTTAAGAGAGCGAGAGAAAACAAGAGAGAGGAGCAAATCCTTTTCCGACAAGCAGATGCGTCGGTGCATAATTACCTGCGTAGACATTCTTGCATCCGTATATTAGCAGCCACATTCCAACTGGCACATTTCGCAAACTGAGATTCTCTACTGGCCACTCCTCTCTTCTTTTTTTATTCTTTTTTATTCTTCTTATTCTTTTTTTCCTTTTTTTTTTTTTTTTTTTTGGTGGACGCTCACAGGACCCACCCCAACATTTCGCAAACTGCGATTCTCTACTGGCCACTCCTCTTTTCCAAATTTCTTTCTTTTTTTTCTTCTTTTTTTCTTCTTTTTTCTTTTCTTTTTCCTTTTTTCCTTTTTTTTTTTTTTTTTTYTTTGTGGATGCTCACAGGACCCACCCCAACCTCTACATATTTGTTCTTCGTTCTTCGCACAACTCCTGGCTTCCCCATTCTTTTCCCGAAAAGCACACAGCTCCACCACATATTCGCAAAGCTTTTCATTCCCGTAATACGGTAATAAGAAAGCAACCAGAGCGACAACGAGAGGCGTTGCAAACGTTTTGAAATCCTGCATTGTTTTTCCCGACCAGTGACTCCAGTAAGGAAAGGATGACACCAACATTTACACTTGCACGGAGTAAAAGAGAGGGCACTGCAGACGTTCTGCAGACTGCAGTGCATTCGAGCTGTAAGATTTCTATCCAAGTGCATTTTTCTCCTGTCCAGCCAAAAACGGGCGTGTAATAACACAGTTTCTATTTGCACGGGAAGAAAAGAACAGCGCAGAAGAACACGGTGGTTATGTGATGTGACAGCCGGCCACACGTGCGCTTGAATGCGGTTCACTCATACCGCGACCCCAAAGAAGCAGCAATGGGCATTTTTGTTCGTCCACGATAACTAGAACATCAAGTTGGCACACCGACAATAGAATGGAGTTCCAACCCAGGTGTAACCAGACAAACGGGGAATGAAATAATTATGAATTCCCTGGAACCAGTCAGTTTGATGATAATATCTCAAGGCCGTAGTACTTGTTTATCTATCTATCTATCTATCTATCTATCTATATAAAGTATTAAAGGAAGGATAGGGCCCCGTAAGACGCTTCCCCTGCGCCCAGGGAAAATGAGGCCCGCGCATCCGTTGGATGGGACAAACATAGTGCCCCCGTTCGTACGTCTTCTTTTTTTGGGCGGGGTGGCCCACGCTTCCGTACGTTTTTTTTGTCGAGGGCACTTGGTACAGTTGGTGTTGGCGTGGCTTTAAGAGCGGGGTCCCTTTCCTCTGCATGTTTGTTTCATGCTGCACCGTCAAGCAGAGTCAACCAGGCATTTCGCTGCACGTTTGTTTCATGCTGCACGTATATTCCCCTGTTCTAGGCGAAAGGTTCATCATCGATTTTGCTCATCCTATTGATGGAAGTAGCATGAGGCCGCCCGCAATGTTGTGGACTTCCCTGCTCTCTCTCTCTCTCTCCCTCTCACGCACACACACACACACACACACACACACACACACCTTTCCATGTTCCAGCGGAAGATTCATTGCAATTTTGTTCATCCTATCGATCGAAGTAGCCTCTCTCTATCTCTCTGCGCGCATGGCTGGAAAGCAGTGTCTATTTCCATGTTCTAACGGAAGATTCATTCAGATTTTGCTCATCCTATTGATGGAAGTAGCCTCTCTATCTCCCTGCATGCATGGCTGGAAAACTGTCCGCAGTTACCGGCATACTGACTTCTGGGACCTTCTGGGACATACTCACACTGGGACCTCTGGCAACTAAGGGCCCACACACGCTGACTATCCTTACGATATACTCACACTCACACTGAGACCCTCTGGGACGTACTCACACTGGGACTTCGGGCATCTCAGGGCACCCCCACACTCTGACTACCCTTGCAGCAGATTGGCGCCGCAGGGTCACATGCCAGTACCTCGCCTGCCGCGGCGCGCCTGTGACTTGTAAATACTCTTTATAAAGAGTAAGCCAGGTCTTGCGTGACAACCCTGCGAGGTCCAGCCGCCAGTGTTGGGAAATCTGCCGTTCCGTGTTGGGGCCCACGGCGCTGGTTCCCCCCAATCGCCTGGCACGTGTACGAGTCCGTCGCCACATGTTCGAATACAACTACATAACGGCTGCGCTTTGAAAATCGGCAGAATTGCTCCATATTTTCCTAATAATAAAAGAATGAAAAATGAACAAAAAAGAACACCACCACAGGACTGGGCCTTCGCTTCGTTTATACATCACAGCCATCCAGGGCTTCACAACACCACTGCACCCTCCCATTTATCAGTATGGCCCACACACAGTTGCTTTGCCAGCCACATACATACAACCTAATGACAAAACAGACTCGCACGGACGTTAGAAGACCCCTCCACGCCCTGAGAACGGAGAGCATCTGCCCCGCAGACATGTTCAATTACAGTGTTTGACAATGAATGTGCCCCTCGACCATTTGGCAGAGCCTACCACAAATGCATCGCTCACAGTACGGCTGGAAGCAAACACTATCAAGTAAGCAAATGAAAATGTATTCGTGATTCGTCAGATTCGCACATCTAATCATATCATCGAATACGAAGATCAATGATTACACAAGGACACACCTTTTTGCCACATTTCGCAAAACAGGCAAGACCTCCCCCCACCTTCCCTTCACATCGTAAGCTGGTACATGGAAGACCAAGACCCGCTGACTAATGTTTATTGCCGTCCCATCCACCCATCCACCCATCCATTCCCAGAGCTTGGGAGCGCCACTCCTGACACTAAAAACAGGACAAAATTGGAACCCTGCCCACTGCACTCAGCCTGCGTGGCCCAGGCGTACAGGTATGTATCTGTTAGTAAACAAACTTACGTTTGAAATCCCGGTGGAAACAGACGACTTCATCGCCTTCAGAAAGGAACAAACAATGGTGACGAATCCTGCCCACTGTCATCAACAGGGTTAATTCACAAACAAGCATCACTCATTTTCTTCACACAGAGTTCACATTGTTGAGACGTACGGCACCACTCAATTCATTTTCGCAGACGCCCTCCACAAGTGAAACAAACCTCACTGAAACGGTATTCACCAATTCGTGGTAGCTGAGGCAGATCCCAGGGCTCGATCCCTAGTTCCCCAACTTACCTGTGTACAATACCTGCGTCAACTCGAAGAGTTGAACCTGCGAGCTGTAGAACCGCCAGTGGTAGGTAGGTCTGTCGTAGGTCTATAGGTAGCCAGGATTCGATCCGTAGACCTGTAGATAAGAAGGCTAGCTGCAGTCCTTCTAGAAGGTTGGCAAGTGGTGTGACTAAAGCAAGCCCATGTTGGAGACGAGGACAAGTGGCAAGGGCAAATAGTAGGACCCCAGTGCAACTGCACTGCGTCGTAGGGTAGTCGCCATGCAGTCATGGGAGAGTCTAGAAAGTACCAGTCCGGTCCAGCAAGTACCACGGGGGGGACTGTGTGCACCATGGGCCAGGGATACAGGGCAGACAGGGCAGACCAACGCAACGCAGAAGTATAAATCAAGAGGCTGCGTCCAGCCATTGATTCATTCCTGCGGATGCCATGCGGAAGCACTGCCTTAGCAGCTTGTGCGAGGAGGTCTGCAGTGTGCCCGAAGACGAAGTGGGCAGAGAAGTGTAGTGTAGCGATACGTAGTGGCAGCTAGCGCTGCCATAGCTGTAGCATAGCGTGTGTGTGTGTTGCGTATGATACTGAGTGTTGCGTGTGGGACATCCAGGGTGATCCAGAGTGCGAACAGTGAGTTGTGTGGGCGCCCAGTCGCCATAGCCAGTTGAAGAGAACTCATATCTGGTTACGATATCTTAAGTACTGTCAGGGCGCATGTTGCCAGTTGCTGTATCGCTGTTTGCATGCAAGACAAGTATGAATAATCGGAGTGTGAATGCATCACTCATTTTCACAGATGTCCACAGTCTTCAACAGGGTAACTTCACCACAAACAAGCCTTCACTCATTTTCACACATAGTCCACATCGTTGAGAGCTAGGGCAAAACGCAGATCATTTTCACAGATGGTGAACAGGTGCAGCAATAGAGAATCAATTTAGCACTCTCGGTACGACAAGTCGACAACAAATAAAAACGACAAGAAAGACATCATGCTTGCCAAGACGAGAGACCATGCTTGCCACCGTCAACGACGGTCGAGACGCGTTGTCATTCATTACCATTTCATTGAGTGATTAACACTCGTTTCATTCATAACGTCGAATTACATTAAGCTATGGACATCGCCGAGATTCCTCCAGACTTATATCATTACCCTCATCACAGCAATTCTTCCAGAGTCCTATTGTACCCTCTTCGCTCACGACACAGCTCACTGACATGCGAAACCCCACCACACCTTACACAACTGAAATTCCACCCTGGCACCATCTCTCAGGCACCCACATAACCCTTGTACACTGGCACGAACACCCCAAACAGGGGTAAGGGAAGCGGATTGGGAGACGGGAGGGGGGGGGGGGAGAGTGGAGGGAGGGGGATAACAAAGGGTGGGGAAGGAGTCTCAGCTTCTACTAGGCCTTCTAACAACCAATCAATACACCAAGAGGCAAAATTGAACTGGGAGAGCCTTTCTTGTGGCTGCACGCAAGCCTCATTCTGACCTATACAGGATTACCAACCGCGTATTCGACCGTAATCTCACTGCCGCCTAACACACTCCTGCATCCACAATGGCAAACAAAGAATGGTCAAGAAAGCCGTCAGAAGACTGCCAGCGGGAAAGATTACTTGTTGCCGAGTGAGCTGTACAGCACATGAAGTCCGATGATCTTCGATCAAAATGGAGTACCGACAAGAAAAACACGCAGCAAGGACAACTCCAACATGAAGTCCGATGATCTTCGATCAAAATGGAGTACCGACAAGAAAAACACGCAGCAAGGACAACTACAAGTGCAACAATATCATGCACATAGGAATGCTCGTCACACACACAACCGTTGCATTTGAAGCTTAAACCACCAGTAAAGGCCAGCCATCGGTCGCGCCCCTTTTGGAGGCCGCCCTCCACCAATTCATATTATCTACGGCGCTCAGCCTCCGAAATTTCCGGAGAGACTCAAAACAGGTTCTCCAGTTGCCTAGGGGGGGCATGTACTGGTGGTTTAAAGCACCAGTACCCCGCCCAGCTATTGAAGTGGATCCTGGAGATGCCCTGCGCACCTAGAGAAAACGTACCGGCACGGGCCCTATTTTAGCTGGTGCCACCAGCCATTTTATCTACTGCGCTCGGCGTCCTAAATTTTTGGAGAGGCTCAAAACAGGTTCTCCAGTTGCCTGGGGGGGGCATGTACTGGTGGTTTGGGGAGGGGCATGTAGTGCTGGTTTAAAGCACCAGTAACCCGCCCAGCTATTGAATCCAATACTGGAGATTCCATGCGCACCAAAAGAGAACAAACCGGCGCGGGCCCTATTTTGGTTGGTGTCGCCGCCCATTTTGGGCCAGTGTCCGGACCCCTGAAAGTTGCAGCCGTGTACGAGCCCAGCATATGTTTTTCAACCAAGGACCTACTGGTGGTTTAAGAGAGCTCTTCAACGTTAAAAGAGGAGACAGGAACCAACACCTTGAGAAGCAACACAGCACCGACTGTTCTCGAAAGAAAACATCATGAAAAATGCATCCCCTCAGCGGAACTTAGCGGATTACATCCACTACAACAGAAACATTTGTCATGTAATTACCACCATTCACATGCCCATCCACTTGGTGTTCAGGCCTTCCTTGGTGCCCCCATTGGTATGTTTATGCCGACTCAATAACTTGGCCACTTTTGCAACAACATGTGTGCTCTCTGAGCATGTACATATCCAGTCGAGGCAAACATTTACCGAGGGGGGGGGGGGTGAGATGGGAGCTTGGTGGGGTGCGTCACGTGCCAGCATGTACACCTCACGTGCCACTACCCTTTTCTCTGAAGACTAACCCAGTTCGTCCCTTACATGCATCCTCAACCTGCATATCTCCAGGAGAGGGAGGGAAAGAGGGAGAGGGGAACCCAAGAGGAGGCAGAGGGGCCGTAACACCATCAAGAGCGTCTTCACAAGCCTCGTATAATAATCCGAAAACCGCGAGCCTCGTATAATCATCCGAAAACCGGGAGCCTCATATAATCATCTGAAAACCGGGCATATTAATGTGAGCCATTTGGCTGTATTCTAAACACCTAGCCTTTTTGGCAAGCGCTCAAATCCTGTCTCGCACAATAAACATCACGAGTTACACTCCTCTGCAGAGTAGGGAGCAGCGGGGGCACAGTGGAGGTGGGGGATCATGACGATAGGACATGTAAAGAGCAAAACAGCAGACGTTCCCACAACACTCACTTCAGTTGTGCACAATTTGTCATCCTCCTCCTCTCACTATCTTCTCTTCATTCGTTTTTTTTTGTGCTTTCTTTTCTCTCTTCGACTTTTTCTATTTTCTGACAAAGTGGGGGGGAAAAAGAGTCGAGGCCTTGTCCCATTCCATGATAGCAGAAATGGCATGGTAGCCAAGGTAGTAGCCAAACTGGATGCTGCTGGGTCAAGTGGTGTTCGGAATAAGAGGCATTAAACCACCAGTACATTTGTCGGTTCGAAAATACTCGGCCTCCGACCTTTCACTAGGCCGAAACGAAATGACGGCCGCTGATCAGATTGATCAACGCCGGGCTCGGCCTCCTGAAAGTTTCGGTACTGGCCAGGACTTGTCGAAACCAGACGCCAAAGGTACTAGTGGTTTGACAGAAAATCTTTTTTTTTTGTTTTTGTTTTTGTTTGTCTTAAGCCAGTCTAGCTGTTAGAAGGGGTGATATGAGCAGCAGCCCCGCCTAGAAGCCTTTCTGGTTGCTCCAATTTTTTTTTTTGGGGGGGGTTAACCCAGTCTAGCAGTTAAGAGGGGTGATATGAGCAGAGCACCGCCTAGCAGCCTTTCAAGTTTTAACCCAGTCTAGCTGAAATCTGTCAATTAAGTAAGTTACCTATGAACCAACCTGTGAAAGTGCCTCTTGGCAGCAACTGCTTCAGCAACAGAAGAATACGAAACGAGCAAATTCCCATTTGGAAGCCTATTAACGCTCTGCAGGACCAAGTTTTGTGACAGCCAACGCACATAAAGGGCAACAGAAAACCCCAGAGGGCATCGTTAAGAACCATGAAAAGATCTCTCGCACCGAAGATGAAGAGGGCGATAAATCACAAGTACACCGCCCAGGCAAACTTTAACATCGAAAATGGGTCATACCAAACAGTTAGGGGAATCGCCCCAGGGTGGCCCTGGGGGCGGGGGGTATTTTTTTTTTCATCACACATGACGCCAACGCCCGCCCTAACACGTGGGACACAAAAACAAATTATGGCCGCCCCCAGCAGGGCCAGGGCGCCCTCAGGTGGAACGACTCCTTTTCGACGTCAAACGTTTGCCTGGGTGGTGTACTTGTGGTTAGAAAAAACCATGAAAAGACCTCAGCGCCGAGGATTGCGTTCCATCCGCCTTATCGAAGGGAAATACATATCGAAAGGGTCCAAAGAGTCAATTTTCTGGTCCTCCTTGTGCGACAAACTGCAGCACAAACGGTGAAAATCCCACTACAATGTTCAAAATAGACGAGCCACATTTGGGGGGGCGCTAGGGGGCACAACTTTTGGAAATTTGGCAGACCTTGTACACGGAGCCGACAATACAAAATTTGAAACATGTCCATCCTTTCATATTTTCCACGAGCGAACTGCAGGTCCGACGGGCCACAATATTCTGAGTGTATCCCATCATCTCCTTTGATTAAAATTCCCCAATAGAATTTTGGATGCCAGGTCGTGCCACAGCCATCGGGAAGAACATCGCGAAAAACAGTACAGCACTGCGAGGTGTCTTCATCAGCATCTTCAATACTAAGGTGCTATCAGTATACGGTTTGTTTCTTCTTCCTTGCGATTCAACCTCAAAAAAAAAAAAAAAAAAAAAAAGAAGCCCCTCAAATACAGGGATATCAACGGGCCACTGAGACTTGTCATCATCATCACCATCATCATCATCATCACCACCATCATCATCATTTTGTTTATTATTTTTATCTACTGGACTCGTCTAACTGTCCTGAGAAATAGTCGTATCTACTTTTTAGGCAAGCTAACTGTATTACTTGGTAATTGTTGTTTAACAGATTTACTTTTAATACGATGGATTACAATAGGGCATCTTCCTTTAAGATTGACATCATCATCATCATCATTCCTTTTGAAGTGACCATTCGACAAGCTCAGGGAACTATACATATATACATTGCCTGAGCTTGTCAAATGATCACTTAAATAAAAAGTTAATCACTTAAAACAAATCCAGAATCACTTAAAAAAAGTTAAAACAAATCCATAATCACTTAAAATAGTTAAAACAAATCCATGATCGAAGAGAGTTGCACTCCTTCGCTATCAAGCAACATTCATCCCCCCTTCCTCTTCCTGTCACTTCCGCCCGCCGGGACATGAGTACTGTTTTTAAGGTTATCATTAACTGGCTTTCACCTCAGACACGACAGAACACGAACTCCCTCAAATTGTCCAGACAATGAACACCATGACGGAACGTGCACGCACCCACACTAGCACAATTTCCTAAGCTTATCCGACTGGAAATACTTCCGGATCCGAATGAATCTGACCGCAATCACATCCAAAACAGAGAACAAATGGACACCACACCATCCACACTCTCATCGCAAGCCGGACCGCACACTGCAACTCAACCCCCCTTGCACTGCAACACCCACATTCACGCATCAGGCTACGGAACTCACCGTCACATCACCTGAGGTTGCGAAAGTCTTGGCAATCGACGAGCCCTTGAGATCTTTCCCAATATTACTAACCACTAACGTCCTGCAAAACAGACTTGCAAATATCAGTCCTTCAGGCCGAGGAGGAGAAAAGAAACAGACACAGAAAAGTCAGACAAAGCGTACTAATAATAATAAAAAAAAAGAAAAAGAAAAAAAAAAGAAAAAAGAAAAAGCGTACTAATGAACCACAAACTTCCTCAGAAAAGGAATTGCACATTTAAGTCCTCCACAGCCCAAAGCGAGAGAAAATGCAAGCGAGAGGACACCCATAAGAGTTAACCCCCCTCCACCCCTACCCCCCACCCCACCACCACCACCAATTACCCTCCCTCCCAACACACACTCCCACCACAATATGACACATTGACATCAGTACACCTCTCGTGTCCTATACGTAAGACGGAGGAAATGGACTCGGTGGTAAGGAAATTGTCCCGGACTTTCACCCACCACCTCTGCCTCGCATATCAAACACACGTACTTTGCAAATTTCACGAGGGATAAGAGCCTGGTTCCGTCAACATCTTGAGCGCATCTGGACATGTGCATATCCGTATCCAGATGGCTTCAAAAATTTGACGGATGGCCAGTGGTGCAAGTGGGGCCCAACTCGGGGAAACAAGTTGGCTTTTGCAAGGGCCCAGCAGCTCATACCGTTGCTGAAACGGGCCACCACTGGATGCAAATTCGTTTTTATGACATCTTTGTCCATGCACCATCCAAATGCACATAGTCGGCAGGGAAAGAATGCTAACATTTAACCACCAGTACTAGGCCCAGCTATCGGCCGTGGAAAAAAATAGAATCAGATGAATTTGGACGTTTCCTAAAATGGCGGCTTGTTAACGGGCACAACTTTAGGAAGTACTGGTGGTTTAAAGCACTAGTACCTCCGGCAGTGTTGGGAAAATAGGGAAAAGCGGACGTTTTCCCAAACTCCTAAAATGTCGGAGGCCAGGCCTGACGACGGCTGCCATTGATAAATCTGTTCGGCGGCCGTCGTTTCGTTTCCACCTCCGAAAAGGTCGCAGGCCCACCCGAGGCCCTCTATTTTCCCACGCGGCAAAGGTACTAGTGGATTAAGAAGAAAGAAAGAAAGAAAGAAAGAAAGAGAGTAGAGGAACGCTCACAAGCAGCTGAGCGTATGCCCACTGGATACAGTTATATAAGATCTGAGTCAGTGCAGCCTCCATACATCTGACCAACCTGTGAGCTGGCATGACAGCTTCCGATGTTCTTTGGAAGCTGCAATTTGCAATTCTGCAAGGTGTTCGTAATTAATATAGTTACGAGAACGGTGCCAAGCTGCGTCCTCTTCAATATCTCATAATACCACATTCCAGCATCGCCACACTATGTCAACAACTCAACCAACTGCAAGGCGCCCCGGATACCCTGCAACATGTGTCTTACAACTACAGAATTCCCCCGCAACGGCAAATATCAACAAAAAAGCCCGACAGAACGGGACGATCACCCACTTTGATCAAACTGAAAGGAAGCCCACCTGCAGCAGACTGAGACTCAAAAAAGATTCAGACAAACACTCGTAAAAAAAACATACCCTTCACCCAATGTAGTAGAAAGACCCCGCAATAGAGGAACACCTGAAACACAGAGGAAGAACACATGAGACACATTAAAATCGTCTCCCGGCGAGGGAAAATAAAATGGGACCCTCACACTGCCCTAGACAGATACACATGTACACTTTACGGTACGTGTAAATGCCGATCAAAAACAAGATTGCTACAACGAGGAAAAGGGGTTGGATCAACAAAGCACCTGCTCTTTGTGACTGGGCCGCCAAGCTGAATAAGATTGCTTCCTGTGGCAAGATGCCGATTGCGGCCTCCATCATGACCCCCCTTCCCATTCTCCGATCCTCTTTCTTGTCTTGTAGGTGCCCGACTGCTACCACCTCCACCACCCTTTCGCTCTCCACCTACAGAACCCATTTCTGCCATTCTCATCATTTCACTCCTCCCATATTCCCCCCCCCTGCCCGATTGCATTCGGGCCAATTCAGCCCTTTCCACATCCATCATGCGCATATCTAAGCGCCCCATGTCCACTCTCCCCGCATCGCTCACGCCCATCCCAAGTCTCTGCAATTCTCCCCTTCCAACATAATCACCCCTTGGCGGTTCCGCCACTCTCCCGATATCACCTCTCATCAACTCACCCTTTCTGAGATCCACCCTCCCATAGTCACTCCTCCCTACATCTCCTCTTCCCACATCATTCCTCATCTCGAAAGTGCCACGCCCGATTCCTGCTCTGGCCATGTCGAAACGATTTCCTACGTCCATACGTCCCATCTCCACGACCCTTCCCAACTCCCCGCGCGCCATGTCATGCATTTCAGGCCCTCTTCGGTTCTCGATCCTCCCTACCTCGTTCCTTCTCTGCGCAACTCCACCACCATGGCGCTCTATGTCTGCGCGCCGCTGCATGTCTGTTCTGTTCTGCAGCGAGGGGTCAAGGACACCCATCATGGCTGCATTGCCAATGTTTGTGCCCTCAGGAAACGTTCTGTTCGATCCTTTGGGAGGGTTCGTTGGAGATGAACCTGCCCCCCCCGCCACATTCTCTTCCCATCCCATCCCCACTGGCATTGCCGGTCCCCCTTTGCCAGGAGGACCACCGGTAGCCATTCCTCCCATCCACGGTCCGTCCAGCATTCCCGGGAACGGCGCTCCAGGCCTCATGCCAATCCCTCGAGGAGACATGCACATCGGAAATGGGCCAGCCCCAGGGCCAAGAAATGCAAAACTTCCTGGGCCCATTCCTAACATCTGCTCCGCGACGAGACCAGGTCGGGAGAAGGCACCTGGAACCCCTCTTGGTGGCATTCCCGGTCCAGCTGCATACATCTCAAAGCCACCAGGGCGAGGTCCACCAGGGACCGGTCCCAGGGCCGATGGCATCCCAACAAACGGAGGGCCAGGCCCACCGAGTCCTCTTCCACCTCCTCTTCCAGCCTGCAATGCAGCCAAATCTGCAGGTTTTGGACCGCCCCCCATCAGTCGCTGCTGCGCCATAAGCTCCTGCATCTGCCACAAAATGCGCCAACAACGAATATGATAAGAGTTTTTCAATCACATGCCACACTCATAAAGAGTGGATTGGGTTCTCAACAAGTTCAGGTCATCAAGCAGAGCCACCCGCATCCAGAACGCCATTTATAGAAAGACACATGGCTCACTTTCGAGTGGAAGAGATCCAGGATAAGCTAATCCACATCACCCAACTGGGAAAAAAAGCATGCCGTCCTTCGGGACATCCGTTCAAATCGGAACGATGCAGAGAAGATTAGCCATACACATGAGCAAGGATGAAAAGCATCAATCAAGAAACGGTCCAAATTAATTAAAAAAAAAAAAAAAAAAAAAAAAACAGATCGTGCAGAAGAAAATCTCCTTAGGGATTTGATGGCCAAAAGAGACCATCATTTCTTCTGTTACAGCATGCACATACAGACGATCCCACAATCCATAATTGAAATGAACACCTCGTAAAACTGACCGCCCACAAGGTTTATAATACTTATATACATTTGAATGATGCTCATATAAACAATTGCGACATGAAAAAACATCCTTTAAACAAGTACAAAATGGGAAAACATCACAAACACTGCATCTTCATTCTCCTCACATTGGGGGTTGAGCAGGACATGCACAGCACAATACACATGCATGACCATTGTGCCTCGTCACATATCCATACATAATTTGCACTTTCACTACCTTGTCATGACGTTCTAGTCTAAACATCATCAAACGGAACTGCCCGGTGAACTGTAGGCAGAGAGGGAGAAGAGGACAACAAACAAGGGGCTGTGGCAGTCTGTTTCGTTGGAGTTTCACCGACTCATTTTCAGTCTATATATGTGCATTATCCCAGCAAATGCTTTGACAAGTATTGGGGCACCAGTTGCTCATAAGTTACCCCATCCAGAGAGGGGGGAGAAGTGAGACCAACCAAGCAGAAAGAAGAACAAAAGGACTGACGCAGCACTTCAAAGAAGTGTGCACACACAGACGCATATCCCCAAGCATGTGCACACACACACACACACAGACGCATATCCCCAAGCATGTGCACACACACACACAC